TTGCACGGCATAACTATTGATTTGAGCCATATGTCCTGTATAAAATAGCCCATTTTTCACATTCTAACCGCATTTTCGAATTGCAACATCAAGAAAGGGAGCTTAAATGGACTTATTGTTAATTATTATTTGTTTTAATTTGACGATAATACCCTTATATTTAACACTCACTTAACAGAAAACTAACGGAGGATTATTTGTGGTCAAAAATAAAAGTCGAGATATGTGTTTTAATCGAATTGAAAGGCGAGTGCTAAACGGAGTACTACCCCAATAGTTAGAGGACCATTTGTAGTATTAACTCTAATTTTTATAACACTTATAATTTTGTTTTATATTTTTCAATACTATTTGATACTGCTAATTCTACGTAAGCAATAATTAAATAATACCCGAGACCAATTAAAGCAAGTAAATATCTTTATTGATCACGGTAAAGGCCCTAAGTACAATCTACTTGGTTGCTCTGAGTGCCGACTGACTGCGGTCAGGGTTCTCTAGTAACAACCTACCGATCGTCCAAAAGTCCTCTACACTGTAACTACTGTGGGTATTTATAGCCACTGCGCCGGACACACAAATCCGGTCGTTCGGCACGCTCTCCACGTAGCCACCACGTGTCATCCTCCCGGGTGCCCTATTTGTCGTCACAGAGAGCCGCCACGTGTCCTTTATCAGCTCTCTCGCCAAAGGGCTACCGCTCGGTGGTCGACAATGCCGCTCGGCAACTCCCGGTCGGACCCCGACCAGGTTCTTCACATGAAGCCCGACCTGTTACCTGCAAAGACAAAGAGAAAAGGACGAAAGCACCTCGGTCGGGGTAAAGCTATGTCGGTCGGGGTATTCCCTACCAAGAGCCCCCCAGCCCGGGTCTTTTTGATCGTCCGGGAAAAAACGGGACGGGATGAAGAAGCCCTACCGTCGGCCTTCAAACCGATCAGCCCGCTGTCATTCAACCCCTCGCCACGTGTCGGCCACTGCCGGCCTCTACGACTGCAACGGTCGCCTCGGAGTCATCGCGGGTCGTGTCACGCAAGTGGACTCCTTTTCCCGCCTAAATGCTCTCCTATAAATAGGCCCTTAAGGCCTTCATTTGAACTTTCCTCAATCCATTGAAGCGATCGGTATCCTCAGAGAGTCCCGAGCAACAGTTCAGCGAACCAATCGAGCAAACCAGGCTTCAAGCTTTCCTCGAAGTACCATCAATCGGTAAGCTCTTTACTCCTTATCTCTTGCTTTATTCTTAGCTTTGCGTAGGAGTAGAGTAGAACTAACTCCGATCTAACCTCCCAAACCCTGTACTAACCCCGACCAACCTTTAGGTAGAAAAACATGTCGGATTCGGATAGCCAAAACGTCTCGGTCGCAGACTACGACCACGGATTTGAGCAAATCAGCGTCGAGGAGATAGAGATTATGTCGTCTTCTCCTGAGGTCGTTCAACGACCGGGGAAGGCTCCCGAGCGGGCCCCCTGTGCAGCAGGAACCCTCGAGCACAAGCGACTCTTCAGGATCGGGCTCGAGCAGTTCGGGAAGCTCGAGCCGTGACAGTGAGGGCATTAGAGAAACGCCCACCCGGGTGATAGGTGATCACCCGGAAACCGCTCCTCAAAAAGACGATCTGCTGGGCAGAAACGAGCCGGTCGAGGAGGAGATAACCGAACCGGCGACCGGTAAGTATGACGGGTTCGAATATCTGAACAGCGATAGCGTCGCCCAGCAGATGAGTGAGCTGACCCACGGGGAGGCTGCGCGGATCGCGGAAAGATTAAGCGGTCGAGTAGAATTCGACACAAGTCGGCGGCTCGGGAACGTTATCGAGCGTCACCGGGGCAAGTGGATCGGGATGCACTATGACTCCCTACTAGCCCCGGTCGTCTTCCCGTTCCCCGCCATCCTGACCGCTTTCCTGGGCTACTACCAGGTCATGCCAGCCCAAATCTGCCCGAACTCACATCGCATCATAGCGTGCTTTCCTCAGATTTGTGCTCGGCACCAGGTACCCTGCACGATGGAGCTTTTCAACTACATATATCAGGTAAAGATCCTCTCGGGCAACTACGGAGGTGGGTTCTTGATGGTGCAATCCCGAGAGGGAAGGTGCTCGATCGCAGGCCTGCCCGGGAACAATAAAGGGTGGAAAAGGAGGATCTTCTCGGTCAAGTACGACCCATGGATCCTCCCGATCGACAGAGTTTGGAGCACCCGCTTTAGGAAACAAGTTACGCCGGTCGAGACCCCGGCTCTTCGGGAGGCTGTCGTCCGGATCTCAAGTGAGATCCATGAATACAAGATCTTCCGGTCGGCAGAGAGCCTTGAGGCCGCCCAGTTACCGGACCCGGTATACGACCTGAGAGAGAAGTACAAGCCCGTGCCGATGGGCGTGGTGGTGGTAGGTCCTCCTGCTCGGGGTAAACGGAAGAAGACAGGTCTAACCCTAACTAACTTTCCCACTCGTAACTCCCCGAACAACAAATTTATTCCCGAGCTAACGTAGTTGTTTCTTTTGCAGATATGGCGCAGAAACGCTTCAACAGCGGAGCTCCAAAATCTCCTCCCCGAACAAAAATAACTCTGGGGAAGAAGAAGACGACCGGTGGGTCTTCGGGGGGGGACTCCATCCTGGTTGCCCGACCCTTAGGCCCCGTCCCGATCATCACCGACGAGGGCGGGGTCCTGGATGCCTCGGACACATTGTTCACCCGAGTGACCAGCAAGCCGAAGGGGCAAGCGCTGGAAAAAGCGGTCGAGGAAGCGGCCGGGAGCAAGAGGCAGAGGACAGAGAAGAGCCCGACCCCGGCGGTCGGGTCTGTCATGGCTGATGCTTCCATACTATCTCGGATCGGCAATCTGACGTCGGTCGAGATAGACCTGACCAAGCTAAGCCCGACCCAACAGGCAGAACGGCTCGGTCGTGAGCTGGCCGAGGTAAGAACTCTTCCTTCTTTCACTTCTGTATAATGGACCCTCAATCGGGCTAATATGCTTAACTCTGCAGGCATCGCGAATTGAGGCGACCCTTCACGGCCAGGCGCTGTTGGCCACTGAGGCCGTAAGTAGGGGTGTATACGAATCGAATCGAGTCAAATATCTCACTATTCGATTGGAATTCGACTATATATTCGAATATTCGTATTTGTATTCGTTTAATATTCGAATCTTAAATTTGATTCGTATTCGATTCGACCAGTTTATTCGAATATATTCGATTCGACTCGAATATTCGAATTCGAAATGGCTAACTTAATTTTTTAAAAAAATTTCTAATAAATTAAAAAAAAAATGTAATAAAAATTTATAATTAAATAGCATAAAATGTTACATTAATACACTAATCAAGAATCACATTAAAATAACAACAAAAAGTCAATCATCAAATTCATATATTAAATACAAGATTAAGAATATTAGGTTTGAATTAAGCTTCAACATCAACCCAAAAAAAGTCAATCAAATTCAAAAATTAAGTACTACAATAACAATCACAATTAAACTTCAAATATCCCCCAGCCATCATGCTTGCAATATGACATCAATTGGTTCTTCTTCCTCCTACAAAAAAATAAAAATAAAGTTAAAACTATTATCATTAAATCAATAAGATATATTAAATTACTAAAGTAGAACTTACATATGTCATAATAGGCTTATTGATCCCATGAAGTTGATGAACCCAATCTGCTCCACAAATTAAAACTTGCACCATGTCAGAAGATAGTTTAGCACGATGAGGATCTAGAACTCGAGTACCCGCACTAAATGTGGCTTCTGATGCCACGGAGCTAATTGGAATAGCTAAAACATCACGGGCTAATTTAGACAAAATACTGAACTTCAATTCATGAGATTTCCACCAAGATAAGGCATCAAATACAGGGGAGGTTACTTCACGATCTTGACACCTATAAACCCCTTCCTCCAAGTAAATGTCCAACTCTGATTTTTTTGGAGTTACATCTTCAACACTGTCTAAATATTTATCATACAAAGACAAACCAGAAAGGACTACTTTTTCTTTAGAAGTAAAGCGTGTAGAAGTAACAACCGAACTCCCAACATGTGTCACAGAAGAACTACCTCTTCGATTTCTCATGTTATCAATTTCAACATATTCATAAAACAAGTCATGTAATGCATCCCTAACATTCTTCACATTTGCACGTGCATCATTTGCATTATATATTTGGTTGAAAGCAAAATCAACCAACCTCATTTTGTACCTAGGATCAAGTATTGCTCCAATAGACATCAAAAGATTGCAATCACCCCAATATTTGTCAAATTTTTTCTTTATCTTTTCAATCATATTTCTAATGACCTCTTCATGATGAAACTCATTTTCATTTAAGACATGCTTAACCCTCCAAACAACACCAAGAAAAACATTAGATGTGGGATAGTTAGTTCCAGAGATCACTTGAGTAGCTTCATAAAATACCTCTAAGATGCTAAGAACATCCTGTATTCTAGTCCAATCTTCCAAGCTAGGACAACATTTATATGAAGGCTCTCTTTGTGCAAATATTGGGAATGCATCCTTAAGTTTAAGGGCCACAACTAACATTTCATATGTAGAATTCCAACGAGTAACACAATCAAGAACTAACTTTTTCACCGGATTTCCCAAATGATGCACAATTTCAGAAAACTTCATCAACCTAGACTCAGACTGATTAATAAATCGCACACTATTCCTAACATCATCAACAATGGTTTTAATTGCAGAAATACCATCCTGAACAACAAGATTCAATATATGAGCAGTGCATCTCACATGAAATAGCTTACCACCCAAAGGTAGCTTATGACTCCTGGAGAAAGTTTGTTTGGCAATTCTAACTTCAACATCATTGTTTGAAGCATTGTCCACTGAAATAGTGAAGATTTTATGCTCTATTCCCCAATCCTTTGTGGACTTCATAACCCCATCAATGATATCAACACCTGAAATTTGACAATAATATAATTAAATTCAAGAAATAGTTATTATTAATTAATTATTATAGAGATATATTTACAAACAAGTGAACATTACCAGTGTGCGGAGGAGGAAGAGGCATGAAACTAAGTACACGCTTTTGAAGTTGCCAATTTGAATCAACAAAGTGTCCAGTGACACACATATATGAAACCTTTTGCACCTTAGACTTCCAAATATCAGTGGTCAATGATATCTTATTGATGGTTCTTAATAGCAATTGTAACTTTTTCTTCTCTATTTCATAAACAGTAATGACGTCATTCTTTGTCATGGCACGAGAGACTTTCTCATATTGTGGAAGATTAACATTCATCATGAAAGTAAAGCCAAAATTTTCCACAGCACTTAACGGTTGCTCGTGCATCAGAATCCAATGAGCAATAGCTTCTCTTTGCTTTGTATGATCATATTTACCATCGGACAAAGGAGGTGTCTCAAACTTAGATTTTGCATTCTGAAATTGCAAGGTTTTTTGATTTTTTGTTTGAAGCTTCTTTTGTGTACACCTATTCAAATGGTTCCAAAGATGAGTTGTTGTAGAAGACGCTGACTTAGAAAGGAGTGTTTTACAATGTATACATTGTAGCTTTATACTTCCATCCTTTGCAGTAACTTCAGTAAAATCAAAGTGAACTTTTGATACCCTCTTTCTTTTCTTCCTTTGAAATTGTTCTTGATCATCATTCTTTTCACATTCCTTCTCATCATCACCTTTTTCATCTCCAACCTCTATATTTTCATTTTCTATACCATCATCATTAACTTCCACATTAGCATCCAAGTCATGAACATTATCACCTTCAAGGCCTCCATCATTAACTTCATTAAAATCACCATAATTTATTTCCTCATATTCTCTAACATCATCTCCTTGTTTTTGCTCATCTGGATTTGAAGATTGAATAGCCAAGGAAGAATCTACTGCCCACAAATTCAATAATTTCTTTTTGAGTACTATAATAATATAAAATAAATAATTTTCAAATTCAATTCACATAATCAGTTAAATAACAAAACATACGGTAAACAAACTAACAAATGCTTTGATTACTATAACATATATATCTCGAATTACAGTATATATCAATTACTGACAATTACTAATTACTATAAAATATATATCAATTTCTTTGTTTATATATATATATATATATATATATATATATATATATATATATATATATATATATATATATATTGTTATTTCTCTATTTGTTATTTCTGTGTTAAAAATATACAATATGTTATTTCTCTGTTTGTTATTTCTGTGTTAAAAATATACAGTATGTTATTTCTCTGTTGGTAATAGCAATATGTTTACAGTATATATTGATATATATTGTTATTTCTCTATTTGTTATTTCTGTGTTAAAAATATACAGTATGTTATTTCTCTGTTTGTTATTTTTGTGTTAAAAATATACAGTATGTTATTTCTCTGTTTGATATATGTTTACATCTTTTATATATATATATATATATATATATATATATATATATATATATATATATATCAACATACTGCTATTACCATTGTTATCGGTCGCCGCCGTCATGCCCTTGCCGTCCATTGCTGCCGGAACAGTCACAGATCTGGAGTGTTGGCGTTGGAGGCTTGGAGCTTCTCTAGCGCGAAACCGTCATAGATCTTGAGATTGGAGTGCAGATATTGAAGCTTCTCTGTCGCGGAAGTACGGAGCCGTCACAGTCCTAGAGTTCGGGCTCTAGACTCTAGAGTCAGGAGATTGGAGAGAATGGAGATGAGGTGTTGCCGTGTTGGAGCTTGAGGAGGGCAGAGTCACGACCGGAGTCGGCACTCCGGCGACCGGAAGTGTGGACTGCGATTGACTGAAGCGGTTGGAGAATAGCGACTTGGAGTTGGAGAATAGCGGCGTTACTTGTTCAGTTTTCTCTCAAGTCTCACGTTGTGATACTGACATAGGGAACTTAGGGTTTATTTTTTGTTTTTTAATATAAAAATATAATATAATATTATATTATATTATAGATTCTATTATATATATATATATATATATATATATATATATATATATATATATATATATATATATATATATATATATATATATATATATTCGAATAGTATTCGAATCGAATATATTCCGATTCGTAATCGGATTCGAATAAATTTCGAATCAAAATAGGTATTCGAATTCGGATTCGAATTCGAATTATTCGAATTCGAATCAACATATTCGAATTCGAATCACGAATCGAATTAAAATTATTTGATTTGTTTACACCCCTAGCCGTAAGGCTTAAAAAGGTCGCCGACCGGCGATTTAAGGAGCTGGAGGAGATGTCCGCCGAGCTGAAAATAGGCCGAGGAGGCGCTGAAGAAGGCTCGGACCGACCGGAGCGCCTTGTCGAAGGCGTTGCAGAAGGAGAAGGAAGCTCGGGAAGAGGCGGTCAAGAGGAGCACCGACCTGGCCGCGGCGATCGATTATTTCTTCCGGGAGGTCGAGCCCGGCATGGCCTTCGTTCGGCAAATGCGGAGAAACGCGGTTGCGGACGAGCTCTTCTGGTCCTTCGGCCACTGGGCCTACAACAGCGGTCAGAGGGACATGAGGGAGAGGACGGAGGCCGATATGAGGGAGGCGCTCGAGGGCAAAGACCTCGAGCTAGTCTTGACCACCCTCCCGACTGAAGTCCCCGACCCCGGGCTGGACCCCTACGACCCCCAGATCGAGGTCGTCGGCCCGAGCGGTGCTGCCGTTGAGAAGCCTGCCGACCCAGCCGATGCCGAAGCCGTGAAGAAATGACGCCTGCTGGTTATCTTTTCTCCTTTTGTAAGCACTGAATCGGGAGCCCGGTCCCGAGTTGTACCAGGCACGTTTTTTAATCAATGATAATCTTTTCCTGTTAAACTCAGGCCATTCGTTTTTCGCTTTACATTTTTGTTTTCAACGTGCGTGCACCGATCGTAGATGCTCGACCTCACGGCCTTTTGGCCCGGTCGTGCACTACTCCGCTCACTCGATACCCGACCTTGTGGCCTTATGGCCCAGTCGTGCATCCAAGGTTCCGACGTCAAACTGGCCAACCCGATCGAGTTCACCCGATCCCTGGGCCTTGACGATTTTTTGAAAATAGGTAAGCCTCCACGTTCGGGAAAATAGCTAAGCCTCCACGTTCGGGATATTCCCGAACGACGGGCCTGTAGATACTTCCTTCATCCCAGCCCCCACACTATTGTGCGCTCGAGGCACGAGTGGGTGCGATAGTGGAAAGAAGTTGGACGGATCGGGGAATTGTGCTTAGAGCTCCTGGCGATGTAACTTGACGATGAATTGATCTGCGTGCACTAAAGGTAAAGAAAATAACCGACCGGGCCGCCGCATGCAAGCGGTCGAGCAATCACCGATCGTACATACATTAAACCTTCCCGCTCGCAGGCGGTTAAATAAATATTTACAACCATAAATTTAATTACAAATGACGACCGGGACCAACTCGCAGGTCGAGCCCCCACTTCGTCCAAAGGTTACAAAAATAGGCTAATGCCTAAACATAACGAGGTGCTCGGAATTCCAAGTCCCCTCGATTACCCGACCGGTTGTTGTCTCCAGTCGGTATGTACCCGGCCGTATAATAGCACTGATGACGTACGGTCCTTCCCAATTTTGAGCTAGTTTTCCGCCCTCCAAAGGTTGACTGGCCTCCCTTCGTCGTAGAACGTAATCTCCCACCTGGAAATAACGAGGGTTGACCCGGACGTCCTTTGAACTCTTGACTCGCTTCTGATACTCGGCCATACGCCGAGCGGCTAGCTCTCTTTTTTCCTCGACCCCATCGAGATCCACGAACATCACATGTTCGTTCTCCTCCGCATTATAAGTTCTTTCTTGGTCGGTTGGGATCCAAGCCTCGATCGGGAGTCGGGTTTCTGCTCCATAAACCAGGGCGAAAGGGGTCTCCAAGGTAGCTTCCCTCGGGGTCGTCCAATAAGTCCATAGTATATACGGTAACTCATCGGCCCAACTACGACCAGCCGAGTGTAGCTTCTTCTTCAGACCTTCCAAAATCGTCCGATTGGCATTCTCCACTTGTCCATTCCCCTGCGGGTAAGTCACCGACGACCGGACGTGAGTCGTCCCGATCGTGGCCAAGAAGTTTTGGAAAGACTGGCTTACAAATTGGCGGTCGTTGTCGCTGATGAGATGTACGGGCACACCAAAGCGGGAAATCACATTGCGCCAAAGGAAACGAGCACATTGCTGCGAAGTGATCGTGGCTAAGGGCTCGGCTTCTATCCACTTGGAGAAGTAATCGATAGCGACAATGACGAACTTTCTCCGACCAGAGAGCTGAGGGAAGGGGCCCAAGATATCTACCCCCCACCTAGCAAAGGGAATTGCAGTCGTGACCGGCTGATAGAAGGTTGCCGGTCGTCCAGGCATCCGGGCAAACAGTTGGCACGTCTCACATTCCCGAGCTAACTTTTCACAGTCTAGCTGGAGGGACGGCCAATGGTACCCGATCAGCATGATACGACGGGCTAACGATCGGCCTCCTTGATGTGAAGAACATATCCCGGAATGCAATTCCTTCATGACCAGATCGGCCTCAAATGCGGTCAAGCAACGCATAAGAGGGCCTCCGTACGATCGCCTGTAAAGACGACCGTCCAAGACTTGGAACCTCGGGGCTCTAAGCTTGGCCTTCCGAGCACGCTGGGGGTCGTCCGGAAGTCGACCGTGCTCGAGGAACTCCTTCAGATCGGTAATCCAATTGTCTTCTACCGGCTGGATTGGATTGACCGGTAGGCGATGGATGCTATGTCTCGGGATCACCAAAATCCGAGCTATCTTCGACATATGTTCCGGGGCGTCTTGAGCCAATTAGACAAGATATCTACATCGGCGTTATCCAATCGGGGTATGTGTCGGACGGTATACCCCCGGAATTGTGCAAGCTTCTCCATGGCTAGGTCTCGGTATAGTTGTAGACGTTCTCCATTGACTTCGTAATCTCCGAGGACCTGCCCAACCACGAGCGCGGAATCTGTTTGTGCTCGAATGTATTCAGCTCCCAAGTCCTGGGCGCACTGTAAGCCATTGACAAAGGCTTCGTACTCGGCTTCATTATTGGTCGGATGGAACTGATACATAAGAGCGAAATAGACTTTGAATCCCTCCGGGCTCGTGACCACCACTCCTCCTCCTGCCCCTTTCTTGCTACTCGACCCGTCAGTAGCCAACGACCACCACTCAGCCTCGGGATCCGCAACCTCGGGGGGTCGGGTATCCCTGGCGATGCACTCGACCAAGAAATCAGCCAAAGCTTAACCTTTGATAGCTGGTCTCGGTCGGTATTCGATCGCGTACTGGGTCAGCATTAACGCCCACTTGACTAGGCGACCGGATGATGAAGCAGTTCGGAGGACTGGCCCGATCGGCTGATCGGTCAACACGCGAATTGCTCGACCCTGGAAGTAGGGAGCTAACTTCTTCGCGGCAATGTATAAGGCGTAGACGACTTTCTCTAACCGGGAGTATCGGAGCTCGGGACCATGTAGCGCGTGGCTTACATAGTACACCGGTCGCTGGACCCCTTTCGGATCGATTCGGCACAATACTGCGCTCACTGCACGATCGGGGACGGCGAGGTATATGTCTAGCTCTTCTCCAAGCTCGGGCTTTGAGAGCACGATTGGTGACATGAGATACTCCTTCAGCTCATCAAAAGCCGTTCGGCATTCTTCGTCCCAGACGAATCCATTAACTTTTCGCAATACCTTGAAGAAAGGTAGAGCGCGCTCGGCCAACTTAGAGAGGAACCGGCTGAGGGCTGCCAACCGACCGGTCAATTGCTGGACTTCCCGAACGGTAGAAGGTGGTTGCATGTCCAGAATCGCTTTTACCTTGGCCGGGTTGGGCTCAATTCCTCTTTTAGTCATCATATAGCCGAGGAACTTGCCGGTCTGAACCGCAAATGTGCACTTGGTCGGGTTCAGCCGCAACTGGTACTTCCTCATGATCTGGAAGCACTCCCGAAGGTCCCGAGTGTGGTCGGATCGGTCCCGACTCTTGACCAGCATATCATCAATGTAAGCTTCCATCGTTCGGCCCAGCAGATCGGCGAAGAGCATATTGACCATTCTCTGGTAGGTTGCTCCCGCGTTGCGGAGACCGAACGGCATCACTCGGTAGCAATACAGCCCGTCCGGGGTCACGAAGGCTGTCTTGCTCTCATCTTCATGGTGCATCATGATTTCATGATAACCCTTGAATGCATCCATGAAACTCATTAACTCGGCCCCGGCTGTCTCGTCGACCATCTGGTGGATACTCGGTAGAGGATACGGGTCGAGCGGACAGGCCTTATTGAGGTCGGTAAAATCAATGCACATCCTCTAAGCTGGGGGCTTAGGAACAAGGACAATGTTGGCCACCCACTCGGGATAGATCACCGGTCGGATGTGCTCGATCGCCGCCATCTTCTTGACTTCTTCTCTGACAAACTCGCGGCGATCGGAAGAAAGGTGCCGGGTTTTTTGCACGACCGGCTTTGCTGCAGGATCGACGGCTAGCTTGTGACAAATTACCGA